CAAATGTTTCAAGTCTATTATCAAATGTGCCCCATTTTATACACAAACATTGAAATTAGGCACACGGTTCTGAAAATACAAAGTCATGTATCAACATCATGACTCCAAACTGCTACACTCTCCACTGGTCTCACTCAAATAATGTAAATCAGGCAAATGATATAGTTCAGGCAAATCTCTGAATACACGGCTGCCTTTCCCAAGACAGCCTCAAGAATGAAGGAGGAGATACCAGAAGACAGGCTGTTACACAAAGAAAGCTAGGCAGGCCATAAAAGTAATACCAGCAGGACTGGCATCTCTTCCTTTCTATTCCACTTGGGCATATTTATGATTAAGTTATTAGAAACAGGCTCCAAAACGGTGGCATGAAGGCCCAACATCCTTTAGCGGAACCTGTGCTGACAGACCAGCATTATCCACCTTAACTGGTTTTTGATAACTCATGACACAAATAATAAAAGACATGATTGAACTCAAATAATGAACAAAATAGTTATTGACTTAGCTAACTTAATAATTCATCTTAAGGGTAAATAATTGATAGCACATTACTGTCAGACACTATGCTGCAATAATAACTCAGAATTATTATTATTAGTTATTATTAAAAATGATCTATTTCTTATATTTTGTTACATAAGAAATTATTTAGGGCAGCACTGTGGTGGAGTGGCTGGCACTGTTGCCTTGCCTCACAGCAAGAAGGTCCTGAGTCTCCACCACCTGACCGGGCCTTTCTATGTGGAGGTTGCATGTTCTCCCTGTGTTTGCATGGGTTCTCTCTGGGTACTCTGGCTTCCTCTCACAGTCCAAAGACATGCAGTTAGTGGGGTTGGTCTAAATTACCCGTAGGTGTGAATGTGAGTACGAATGGTTGCCTGACTCTATGTGTTAGCCCCCCCCCCCCATTTTTTTATTACACTCATTTATATAATGAGTTAAATAAAAATCAAAAGCTTAAATATGTTTAGTAACCAGACAACTTTGGTATTATTAGAGTACTTTATTGGTAATAATTCAAAGCACATCATTTGATAACAAGTAAAGAAATCCTCTGAGAGCAACAAGCACAATTTTAAAGATTAGTATTTACTTAATTGTGTTTTAGAAAGAAAATGACAGATGACAGAAATAAACAATTAATATTTCAAATTGTTTAAGGTTTTTCTTTTTTCTTGACTCATATAACAACATGGACTGAAGCTGATCTTCCACACGCTACACATTGTTGTATATTGAGTCATCGCAGTCAGTCTAGACAGAGAAACAAGATTAATTCACTCACTTTGTTTATGCATGCACATTATGAATGAATTATTGAAAAAAAAAATCATTACTTGTCCCTACATTGCCATAGAGATGATCATTGGCATAAATGTCAGAACAAGACATATCCTTCCTGTCCTCTTTCCTGCAGAAAGAATGCAAAAACATTAAATCAAGTTACACATCTTCTTAAATCATATTTAATCACAAGTGAGATTGTTTGTTTAAACTTAAGATGAAGAATCAAAACCTTTTTGTTGGGGCATAACGAGGGAGCTCCACAGGTCTCTCTGCTTTCATGGTGCCCAAGTC